CTCACCAGCGCTGTCCGCCTGCCAGGGGGGCACGACGCATATCGAAGCAATCATCGCCAAGCCGTGCCAGCAGTGCAGAAAGTCGCTCGTGCAGCTGCGGGGGTGGAGGACGAGGAGGAGGAGGAAGAGGAGGAGGAGGAGGAGGAGACGAGGAGGAGGAGGAGCGAAGCGGAGCTGAGCGCGCCGAGTCCGCCGGCCGACCGGCCAGCGGGCATCTCAGGGGCAGCGCGGGTTGGCCGGGTCCTGTTTACTGCATGTGCTGGAGGAAAACGCGTTCTCAACTGTCCCATAGGAAAAACACGTGCTGGATGAGCATCGTTTATCCGGTCCCTATCCCAGGTGGCGTGGCCTTGGCCCCACTGTCCGATTTGCCCCCGTAGATGGGGATAGAACCTGTCCCCCTCGAGTTTCGAGGGGCACATCCCCAAGTAACGTGGTGGGCGGGTGGGGATCGGGATCGGGATGGGGATGGCGATGGGGATGGGAATGGGAATGGGGATGGGGATAGGGAACGGTTTAACGATACTGACTGGAGGCCCGTGTTGGGGAAACCAAAAGGCACCGAAACCACAACTCCCCAGACCTCTCCCTGGGTGCATTCTGACTAGAATCGACAGGCGAGTCCAGCGGCGGCGACCAGGAGCCCCCCCCCCAAAAAAAACGGGCGAAGGGTAGCGGCATGGGTATTGTGTTCCTCCTCTGACGTCTCTTGCATGTGTTGGCGGAGGGAGAACCTTTTTGACTTGGCGGCAGCGGCTGCCCCGTTCAGCCAGGCGACAGAAGGTGGCCTGGTTCTGCACCCCCCCGCTCGGGCCGAGGAGGAGGAGGAAGAGGAGGAGGGAGGTTGTCGGAGGAGGAGGAGGAGGAGGAGCAGAAGGAGTAGGAGGGGGAGAAGGAGGAGGCGGAGGAGGAGGCGGAGGGAGCAGGAGGATCACTGACCAAACTGCCACGTCTGCGAACGGGCCGCCATTGAGCAGTTCGTCGGGGGCGTCTGCCGCAAAGAAGAACTGCCAATGGGGGACACACAATGCTTGGGGAAACCCCAACCCACAGTCTGTTGCCGGGGGGTGCTAACAGAAGCACGCCCTGGCTAGCAACCCCACAGTAAAAGCTGGCGGGGGCACGCCCGCATTCGGACACATACCTCTTGCCCTCGAGGGGACTGACACAAGGATATGCGGGAGCAGGCCTGGAGGCAGAAAACGCACATGGCTGGCATTTGCTGACGGTACCAACCAACTTTGGTTAACCACGGCCCTAGCCTAAACAGGTGCGGCGCGGCGGACGCCAGGAACACACCCGTGATTGTCAACTCGGACTGGTCGAAATAACGGGCCGCGTGCTAGTTGGGCATGCGAGGCATGCCTCAGCCCTCAGTCCGGGCGGGACTCCGGCGATCTGACCTACCAACGCGCGACTTTTGATGCCAGAACTCCAGCCGTGTTTGTTGAGTCACACTGGCCGAAACAACGGACCGCAGTCTAGTAAGGCATGCGAGGCATAGCTTTAGCCCACAGTCCTGGCAGAGTTCCAACGCTGATGGTCCTAGAATAAGTGCAGGTGCGGCGCGGCGGATGCTAAAAAAATTGCCGTGATTGTTGAGTCAGGCTGGCCGAAACGACGGACCGCGAGCTAACTAGGCACGCGAGGCATAGCCTGATCCCACAGTCTCAGCAGAATTCCAGAGATCTTGCCTAACAAAATGCGGCCCGGGCGGGCCCAGGCGCAGCCTGGAAGCAACCCCTCCGATGCTTCATGGCAGCCGGCGCGGCCCGGAATGGGCCAGGGAGAGAAGCCCACGCGGGCCAAATCGAGGAGTGTCAGGCTGGCCCAGGCGCGGTTTAGAAGAAACCCCCCTTGCTTCACGCGAGCGGGCTCGGCACGAAGAGGCTGGGATAAGGTGGCCGCTCGGGCGGACCGAGGCGCGCCTCGGAAAAAAAAGCCTTGCTTCACGCAAGCGGGCGCGGCCCGAAATGGGCAGGAAGGAGGAGGAAAAGGAGGAAGAAGGAGCAGGGAGGGAGGAAGGGCGGAGCGGAGCGACGCCCAGGCCGGGATCGCCCCGTCTTCCCATCGGGCCCCCGCGCTGGCGTCCACAACGGCGCACCCCTGCGGGCCCCCAGAGGTTTTGCCCGACGTCCGCAGCGCCGACGGCGGCGGCGACGACCGCCCGCTCCACTTTTTCATCCTTGAACCCCGTTCCTCCTTCCTACCCCGTTCCTCCTTCCTCGGGACCGCAAAGAGCCCGATGCTAACGATCCTGCTAGGATGTTCCATTCCGCGGGCCCCCCTGGCGCGAGGGCGCGAGGAGGTGTAGAGCCAGACGTGGCGGAAAATGACTTATGAATCTACTTTTCGGCGAACGGGTTCCTGATGGCCCGATTGCACTGCTGAAGCTCTAGCACGCTGTAGAGGTCATGGAAGATGAATATGTGTTCACAGCCCGGCCCCGCGGTGAAACCTATGGCGATACCAACGGCAGGCATCCTCTTCCTTGCGTGTCTCTCTCGCGCAAGTGACGCTCACTTCTCCTCCAAGGTCGGGGTTATGGCAATACCAAGAAGTAGGTAGGAACATGAAGTAGGAAGGCGTTGCATGTAGATTGGGTTCCGTCCGCCTTCTAAAAACGACGAGAAAGGTGAAGCCACTCGATCATTGAAGTAGGAAGGCGCTAAAGTAGATTGGAATCTCGGAAGTCCAAACGTACATACTTCCAACAACCGATGGGCATCAAATTTCTCAAGCGCGCAGCAGCGGCAAGAGTGGCAAGAGTGGCGGCCGTTAGGCGAACCTTCTGCTCGCCCCGTCGGCACAAAGCAGCCCTGCCTACCCCCCCATCAAACAGGGGGCTACACAGGCGATCACCCTGCAAACAGGGTGCCCGCAGGGTCGCGGCGGAGGGCGGCCCTCTGGAGAGGCGCGGTTGGGACAGGCTTGTTGTTGCGGAGAAGGGGAAGTGGGGGGGAGCGCTGCGTTGGTGGCGAACCGCGGAGAAAGGCCAGAGAATGAGGAGGGAGGGAGGAAGGCAGGAAGGAGGAGGGACGAGGAAGGAGATGCCGCCGTCGCATGGCCCTGCCGCTGCTCCTCCTCCTCCCACCTCCTCTTCCTCGTCCTCCTCCTCCTCCTCCTCCTCCTCCCTCCTCCTCCTCCTCCGCCTCCTCCTCCTCCTCCTCCCTCCTCCTCCTCCGCCTCCTCCTCCTCCACAATTACACAATATGAATACTACTCTCCTCTCTCCCCTGGTGACGTCCGGGAAATGGCGAGCCCCCCTCCGCGTACTGTTTTTTCCCTACCTAGGCTCCGCCTAGAAGGGTTCTTACTCTCTTAGCTTAAAGGGGCCGGGCAGTGCAAAGCGCCACGGGCGGTTCCCCCAGTCCCCTGGGAGCGGTTCCCCCCAGTCCCCTGGGAGCTTTAGCTTTAGCTTTAGCTTTAGCTTAGCTTTAGCTTAGCTTTAGCTTAGCTTTAGCTTAGCGTTTCGCTTAGCTTTTCGCTTAGCGTTTAGCTTAGATTTAGCTTAGGTTTAGCTTAGCTTTAGCTTAGCTTTAGCTTAGCTTTAGCTTAGCTTTAGCTTAGATTTGGCTTATATTTAGCTTAGCTGTAGCTTAGCTTTGGCTTAGCTGTTGCTCAGCTTTAGCTTAGCTTTAGCTTAGCTTTAGCTTAGCTTTAGCTTAGCTTTAGCTTAGCTTTAGCTTAGCTGTGGCTTAGCTTTAGCTTAGCTTTAGCTTAGCTTTAGCTTAGCTTTAGCTTAGCGTTACTGTTACTACTAATGCTGCTTTCCTAGGGGTTCCAACTCCTAGGTAGGGTCGCACTGGGATAATTTTTACACATGGGATTTCCCGGAAAAGAGATTTCGCTTGGGTGTTGTTTCAAAATGCTGCTCTCGCAAAGGCGCTGGCTTCATTTTCGAGCCACCGCTCGTTTCAAATCGTGCTCCAGCTGCAGCACTGGCCTCATTTCTGCGCTTCCGCTCGTTCCGAATGGTGCTCCCGCTGCAGCGCTGGCGTCGTTATTTTCAGCGCCATGCCACGGTATGGTGTTCGGTCCTTCCAAATAGGCTCCAAAATCTAGAAAATGACACAACGAAAAAAAAACATCGGAATTGATTACACATTCGGTGTCAATTCGTTGGTTTTTGGGTTGTCCGAATCGTGCTCCCGCTGCAGCGCTGGCGTCATTATTTTCAGTGCCATACGACGGCATGGTTTCGGTCCTTCCAAATAGGCCCCGAAATCTAGAAAACGGCCCCCGAAGAAACCATCGAAGTGATTACACATTCGGTGTCGATTATCTGATTTCTTTGGCCGCAGAAGCCCCCCCCACACTCTTTGGGACGTCGCCACGCCATGCTGTCATGCTACGCGCTGAGATTCAACGCCATGCTATGCCATGCAATGTTATGCCATGCTACGACATCCGAATGTGCGAATAGAGAAGAGATCTACGCCATGGTAAGGGATGGGAGGAGGGGTAGAACGTCAGACATGACGCGAGCGCACCTAGCTTGTCCCCCTGCCCCTCCCCCTCCTCCTTCTCCTCCTCGTCCCCCTCCTTACCCTCATCATCATCACCATCACCATCACCATGAACACCACCATCCGTCATGACCATCACCATCACTATCCATCATCATCAACATCCACCATCACCATCATCCTCATCGTCGTCGTTGCCATCATGAGCACAGTAGGCATCGCTTTCGTCGCCGTCGTCACCATCGCCACCAACATCAGCAGAATCAGCACCATCCCCATGTCGGGAGCGGCCAAGAGGGGGGTGTCCAAGAGGGGGGGTGCAAATCATGGCCGGCGGCACGTGCGCGGCCCAGGGGGGGGGGCCAGGGACGTAATAAGATAAGAAGAGGCGCCATGAAATCTGGGGAAACATCATGGCCCACGCCATGATATCCACCCCTCCCTAGTCATCACCCCCCTCTTTGCCGCCCCCGACCATGGCCACCACCAGCCGCCCCGAGCCCGTGGCCGCCGGGCCGCCGGCGGCTGGGCCTGCGAACTCCCCGCTGGCCAGGCACTTGCCCTCCCCACCTGCGGCCGCACGGCGCCCGCACGGACCCGCTCCCCTGGAGGAACATGAAGCTGCGTGAGCGTGCCTTCCCGGACATCCGCGCGGACATCCGAGAAATTCTGTTTGTGCCTTTCCTATGTACTCCATCAATTCTCCGTTCGGACGGAAGCGGGGGAGGCGTGCGAACCAGCTCTGGGCGGCGCCGCCCGGGCGGGAAGGCAGAGGGGGTCGGCCTTCCCAGAAGGCGGCGGGGCTTCTCGGAGTCCCTCGCGCCTTCTGAGAAGTCTTCTGAGCCTGAGCCTTCTCCGAAGCCACAGAGGGGCTCCTCTGAAGGCGAGAGGGCTTCTGAAAGCCCCGCCAGCTTCTGGGAAGGCCCGCTCCCTGTGCCTTCCCCCCTGGGCGCGCCGCCGATAAGAGGGGCTAACGAACCAGCTGTAGTGACTGGTTCTTCGGGCGCCCACCGGCGCCTCGCGGCGCCGACGGCGCCCGTGCATCGAGGAAAGCGTCCGCTGGCGGGGCCCAAACCGGCTGCACGCCGCGGCATCTATATCCCCCCTGTCAAGGAACCCTCCCCCTTCCGTCCGTCCCGATCCTCATCTGGCCCAGGGTTGCCAGAGATCTCTGGCGGCCTCTGACGAGATGATGATGATGATGATGATGATGATGATGATGATGATGATGATGATGATGATGATGATGATGATGATGATGATGATGATGATGATGATGATGATGATGATGATGATGATGATGATGATGATGATGATGATGATGATGATGATGATGATGATGATGATGATGATGATGATGATGATGATGATGATGATGATGATGATGATGATGATGATGATGATGATGATGATGATAACGATGATGGATGATGGTGGTGACGGTGGTGGTGATGGTGGTGACGGTGGTGATGGTGGTGACGGTGGTGATGGTGGTGGTCATGCTGACGGTAATGATGCTGATGATGATGCTGGTGATGATGATAATGAAGGTGGTGATGATGATGGTGGTGCTGCTGATGACGACGATGATGACGATCGTGGTGGTGATGGCGATGAGAATGGTAATGGTGATGGTGATGATGATGAGGATGGTCATGATGATGATTGTGTTGATAATGGAGGTGGTGATGATGATGTTAGGATGATGATGATGATGATGATGATCATCATCATCATGGTGGTGATGGTGATGGTGATTGTGATAGTGATGCTAATTGTGACGACGACAACGATGACGATAACGATGAGGTTAGCAATGGTGATAGTGATAGTGGTAATGACTGTTGTTCGTTTGACCAGAGCCTTGTCCGCCACGAACGCCCCTTTGGTCGATGGGCGGGTGCTCAACCCCACGGTGCCTCTGTGAAAAAAAGCGAGACAGACCTGTCCAGTGAGATCTCATGAATACTTGGATGGCTTGGCGACGCTACGGAGATGATGATGATGGTGGTGATGGTGAACACACCATCGCTACAATCACTATCTCGTTAGGGCTGGCGCTGCCGCGGCAGTCGATGCGCCATCGCCGCGGCAGTCCAAAGCTCGCGCCACGCGCCCCTTGAAACTCTCCGTCGCTGCATTCCTGCGCCTTACAAAGGGTGCTACCCCCAAGACTTAGGTCGGGCATGTCCTCCTACAGGCGGATTTTGGACGAAAAAATGGGGAAACGAAAAAACGTCCCCAGATTTTTGACTATGTTTGAACATTCCCTCTGTAGAGGGACACGCCCGACTTAACCCAAGACCCGCATAGTGCAAAAACGCTCACCTGCGCTAGGTCTCCCTCGTCTGCCCCTGGGCATGGTTGCATAGCTACCCGATGTGGGCGATCCAACGTTGAATAAAAAACTACCGCCTCCTCCTCAGATCCGCTGTACAACACACGCCTCCCTGTCACACCACCACACGTGTTCGGCCGGGCTGGGCGTGCTGCCTAAGCATCCCCCACCGCTTTAAAAAATGAGTTTGACGCCGCCAACAGCTACACAGATGGAGGGTGATTCCTCTACAGAAATTGGGTGTTGACTTGGCGCCGCGCTCACTCGTCTTAAACAGTTCAAGCGGCTACACGGCTGGAGGGCGGGTCATGTCTCAAATGAGGCTCTAGTCTTGGCGCCGCGCACATTCGTCTCATAGAACTATGCAACAATTAGACGGGTGGATGGCGACTCCTTTTCAAAATCGGGCTCGCGCTTCGGCGCCGCGCTCGATCGTTCAAAAAAACCAACAACTACACTGAGGGAGGACCGTTCCGTTTGAACAAGGGGATCTCGCGTGAGACCCCCTCCAAACTTGTTAGACGAGTACAACATTATGCTACGGCTGCACGGACGGAGCGCGGCTCCTTCTGCACAGTAGGCTCTCGCTCGAGACTTGGCTTGAGCTTACGACCAGCAGATTACACTCGTGCGACACTTGCACGGAGGGAGAGCGACTCCTTTTCGAAGCGGGGCCGCCGCTGGGTGCTCCCTTGAACTATATGGCCCCACCAGGCGACTCTCCTTCCAAATTCGAAGGATGCGGGCGGCTTCTGTCAAAACGGAGCGCCCGCCTGAATTGCCCGCCCAAGGGGCGCTCTTCCTTCTCAAGGGGCTCGCTTCGCGCGGTGAATAAGAACGCTTGTAAGAACTAAGGTGGAGAGGACTTGGGATGGGAGGGTGTGTATTGCAGCATCCTTGCTACATACTGGGTTCCCCCAGGCCCTCCGCCTCCACATCATCCACCCCCTCCTCCTCCGTTTCTCCCCCTCATCCCCCTCCTCCTGATCCTCCTCCTCCTCCTCCTCCTCCTCCTCCTCCTCTTCATCATCCTCCTCCTCCGTCGCAGTACCCCAGCGTTCCTACTGCCCTCTCCCTCATCCGTGAACCTCGTTCCTCTTCCCTCTACGTATCCCCATTATTCCTCCCTTTCCCCCTCCTCTTCTTCCCCCTGAGAAGACGCCTGAAATGGCGCGGGAATTGGAGTATTCTCACGCATCCGTTATTCCTTCCCCGGCGGCCTCCTCTTCGTCCACCTCCTCATCCCTTCCTGCGACGAATCATCAACATCATCATCATCATCATCATCATCATCATCATCATCATCATCATCATCATCATCATCATCATCATCATCATCATCATCATCATCATCAGCATCATCATCATCATCATCATCATCATCATCATCATCATCATCATCAGCATCATCATCATCATCATCATCATCATCATCATCATCATCATCGTCATCGTCATCGTCATCGTCATCACCATCAGCAGCATCAGCATCATCGTCAGCATCAACAACATAATCATCATCAGTAGCATCATCATCAGCACCATCATCATCATCATCATCATCCTCATCATCACCATCACCATCACCATCACCATCACCATCACCATCACCATCGCCATCATAGGTGCATCAGCACATCAGCATCATCATAAGCATCGTCATCGTCATCATCACCAGCATCAGCAGCAGCATCAGCAGCATCATCAGCATCATCATCATCCTTATCATCATCCTCATCACCATCATCATCAAGAACAACATCGACATCAACATCATCAGCACCAGCATCATCATCAGCATCATCATCGTCATCAGCATCACCATCATAATTTGCAGAAGCCGCAACAGCGGCAGCGTCATCACCATCATCAGCAGCAACACCAGCAACAGAATTAGCATCAGCATCATCAGCATCAGCATCAGCAGCGGCATCGTCATCATCAGAATCACCACCACAGCATGAGTACCGTCATCACCACCAGCATCATCACAATCATCAATAGCATCAGCATCACCATCATCATCATAATCAGTACCAGCATCAGCAGCATCATCACCATCTGCATCATAAGCATCACCATAATCATCAGCATCAACATCATCAGCATCGTCATCAGCAGCAACAACGTCGTCGTCGTCGACGTCGACGTCGTCGTGGCCGTCGTCGTCGTCGGCCTTGTCGTGAACGTGGCCACCATCATAATCAGCAGCAGCATCATCCGCAGCATCATCAGCATCAGCATTATCATCACCACCACCACCACGAGTACCATCACCATCGTCTCATCATCATCCTCACCATCACACTCACCATCAGCAGCAACAGCCGCAGCCTCCTCCTCCTCATCCTCCTCACCCATCTTCTCCTCCTCCTCAGCCTCCGCCTCCTCTTCTCCCCCCTCCACGCACACACAAACACACAAACACACAAACACACACACACACACGCACGCACATACAAACACGCACGCGCACAAACATACACACACACACACGCACAAACGCACAAACGCACACACGCACGCACGCACGCACGCACGCACGCACGCAAGCACACACACACACAGACACAGACAACAACAACAACAACAACAACAACAACAACAACAACAAGAACAACAACAACAACAACAACAACAACAACAACAACAACAACAGCAGCAGCAGCAGCAGCAACAACAACAACAACAAGCAAAAACAACAACAACAATCAAAACGCGCGCGCACGCGCACACATCCACACACTAACACCCCCACACACACACACACACACACACACACATATACACACGCACACACGCACACATGCGCACACTGCCACACACACACACACACGCGCGCACGCGCGCGCACGCACACACACACACACACAAAACAAAAAAAAAAAAAAAAAAAAAAAAACGCACGCACGCACGCACGCACGCACGCACGCACGCCTTCTCCTCCTCCTCCTCCTCCTCCTCCTCCTCCTCCTCCTCCTCCTCCTCCTCTTCCCTCCTCCTCCTCCTCCTTCCCCTCCTCCTCCTCCTCCTTCCCCCTCCTCCCCCCACCCTTCTCCTCCTCCTCCTCCTCCTCCTCCTTCTCCTCCTCCGCCTTCTCCTCCTCCTTCTCCTCGTCCTCCTTATCATCATCATCCTCCTGCTTGTTCTGCTCAACATCATCACCATCATACACAGCAGCGTCATCATCACCACCCTCCCCCTCCTCCTCCTCATCATAATCATCAGTACCATCAGCATCATCATTATAATCCGCATCTCCATTGGGATCGTCATCGTCATCGTCATCGTCATCATGATCATCATCATCATCATCATCATCATCATCATCATCATCATCATCATCATCATCATCATCATGACCATCAGCAGCATCATCACCATCATCATCATCATCACCATCTTCATCATCATCGTCATCATCATCAGCGCCAGCATCAGCATCATCATCATCATCATCATCATCATCATCAACAACAACATCAGCAGCACCATCAACATCAACAGCAACATCAACATCATCATCATCATCATCATCATCATCATCATCATCATCATCATCATCATCATCATACCAGAGAAACACCCAATCAGGGCTATAGGGTTAGGGGGCTATAGGGCTATAGGGCTATTGAGCTATAGGGCTATAGAGCTATAGGGCTATAGATTTGTAGGGCGATAGAGCTATTGGGCAAGTGGGCTATAGGGCTATAGGGCTATTTAGGGCTATAGGGCTATGGGGCACCCCCGGGCACCCCCGGGCAACCCCGGGCACGCCCGGGCACCCGGGCACCCGGGCACCCCCGGGCACCCCCCGGGCACCTGGGCCCCGGGCACCCCTGGGCACCCGAGCACCCAGGCGTGCAGCGAAAATCGGCGACAAACCTAACCTAACCATATGAATCCGCTAGGACCCCTACAGAAGCAAGCTCTGATTGGGGAATCATCATCAACACCAACATCCTCATAAACATACTAATCAACAGTGTCGACGTCAGCCTCCTCTGTACCCTCATCATCATCATCATCCGCCGCCGCATCATCATCATCGTCATCATCAGCAGCATCATCAGCATCAACACAAGCCGCATCATCAGCATCATCAGCATCACCATCAGCATCGCCATCATCAGCAGCATCAGCAACAGAACCATCAGAATTAGCATCATCAGCATCATCATCAGCATCATAATCATCATCAACACCACCTTCAGATGAATCAGAATCAGAAGCATCATCACCGTCGCCATCAGCATCAGCATCAGCATCAGCATCATCATCGTGAGCCTCATCGTCATCAGCATCATCCGCGTCATCATCGACGCGTCGTCGTCGACACTCGCATCATTATCATCGTCATCATCAACATCACCATCATCAGCATCAGCATCACCACCACGATCGTCATCACCACGATCGTCATCATCATCTTGACCACCAGCGCATCATCAGCATCCTTCTCACCATCATCAGCGCAAGCAGCAGCAAGAAAATCATCATCATCAGCAGCAGCAGCATCATCAGCATCAGCATCAGCGTCAGCATCACCATCATCAGCATCTACATCAGCATCATCACCATCGTAACCGACACCACCACCATCATCAGCATCAGCATCAGCAGCATCAGCATCATTATCAGCAGCATCATCAGCACCATGATCACCATCGTCGTCGGCTGTATCGCCAAAATCATCATCGTCATCATCATCATCAGCAGACTTATCAACATCATCAGCAGCATCCGCGGCATCATCATCCTAACCAAAATCATGATCAGGAACGGCATGAGCATCATCACTCTCATCATCATCAGCATAATCAGTATCGCCGTCGTGGCCATCATCATCATGCCGGCATCACCATCATCAGCAGCAGCATCATCATCATCGTCCTACCGTTCCTACCGTTTCGGCCATCGTGAATCGATCTCGCAGGCGGCAGCCTAATTTGCTAATTATCGATCGAGCGATCGAGCGGTAGCGTGCAGCGGCGGCGGCAAGCAAGGCCGCGCCTCCTTGATGAGGGCCGCGATGCCTCCTTGACCTGCCTCCTCGGGATCGCGCCTCATCATCGTCCTCCTCCCCCTCATTATCATCATCTTCCTCCTCCGAGAAATCCCCCGCAGCGGACAGCGCTGGCGGTGCGCGCCGTGCTCGATCGCGGCCCGCATGCCGGCCGCAAACGTCTTGATGGCGTCCTGGCCCATGAGGAACCTCGGGCCCATGCCCTGCCCCTCCCCTCACACCCCACCTCCCGTTCCTCCTCCTCCCCCTCCTCCTCCTCCTCCTCCTCCTCCTCCTTCTCCTCCTCCGCCTCCTCCTCAACATCATCCCCCGAATCCTGGCCCATGAGGAACCTCGGGCCCCGCCTCCCCCTCCTCAACATCAACCCGTCTCCCCATGATCCGTGCCCTCACCAGCTGAATCATCAGCCTCATCACCATCGTCATCAGCATCAGTATCATCAGGAGCAGCATACTCATCATCACCATCAGCAACAGCAGCCGCCGCAGCATGAGCACTAGGATCATCAGCACCCTCAGCATCATCATTATTGTTATGATCATCATCGCAATCACCAGCAGCATCAGCGTCAGCATCAGCATCAGCATCAGCATCAGCATCAGCATCAGCATCAGCATCATCATCATCATCATCATCATCATCATCATCATCATCATCATCAGCATCAGCATCAGCATCATCATCATCATCATCATCATCATCATCATCATCATCAGCAGCATCATCATCAGTATTATCGGCGTCTTCATCATGATCATCAGCAACAGCATCATCATCATCATCAGCGTCATCAATGTCATCGTCACGGCCAGCATCATCATCACGATCATCATCGTCATCGGCATCGGCATCCGCATCGGCATCGGCATCGTCGTCAGCATCCCCACCACCATCATCATCACCATCATCATCATCACCATCATCATCATCAGCATCATCATCGTCAGCATCGTTATCATCATCATCATCATCATCATCATCATCATCATCGTCATCATCGTCATCCGCATCATCATCCTCATCATCATCAGCATCACCATCATCATCACCATTATCATCATCATCATCATCATCATCATCATCATCATCATCATCATCACCATCACCATCAGCATAGTCATCATCATCATGATCAGCAGCATCAGCATCGGCATCATCCTCATCATCATGATGATGATCATTATCACCAGGATCATCACGATCATCCGCAGCATCATCAGCATCATCCTCACCATCATCACCATACTCACCATCATCAACATCCACATCACCATGATCTCCATATCATCATCAGCATTATCATCATGAGCAGCTAAATCATCATTAACAGCAGTCGCATGAGCAGCATCATCATCATCATCGTCATTAGCAGCAGCAAAACAAAAGAATCAGCAGCAGTATCATTATAATCATCACCATGCTCATGATCATCCTCGTCGTCATCCTCATTATCAGCATCATCATCATCAACGACATCAGCATCATCATCATCAGCAGCAGCATCATCAGTTCCACCACTATATTCATCCTCATCGTCGTCATCACCACCACCACCATTCATCCATCCATCCATCCATCCATCCATCCATCACCATCACCAGCAGCAGCATCAGCCGCAGCATCGTCATCATTATCAGCAGCAGCAGCATCATCATCATCATTAGCATCATCATCATCATCAGCAACATCTTCATCATTGCCAGCATCAGCATCATCATCAGCAGCAGCATCATCAGCATCATCAACATCATCAGCGTCGTTATCAGCATCGTCATCGTCATCGTCATCGTCATCGTCGTCGTAAGCAGCAGCAGTATCGTCTACATCAGCTTGTTCTCAGTAACAACATCATATCGACTGTATCATGATCATAAGCAGCATTCACACAATCACCATCACCCTCACCGCAATCATCAACAACAGCATAATCATCATCGTCATCATCACCATGACCATCGACGACATTATAATCACCATCATCATGATCATCCACCACCATCATCATCATCATCACCGCCACCACCACCATCATCATCAGCAGCAACATCATCAGTACCGCCACCACCATCACCACCATCATCATTACACTCTTTCCTCTTCCAACATTTCCTGCACCTCAACTTCCTCCCCTTCCTGCTCGTCCTGCTCCTTCGGCTCCTCCTGCCCCTCCCGATCATCCCCCCCACTGGTGCTGACAAACGCATAGCCGTCGCCACTTTCGTGAGTTCCTGGAACGTTCAGCGGGGTGCTGCCAAGCGCGCAGTTGCCGCTTGCTTCGTGAGCTCCTGGGACGTCCAGAAGGGTCACGCCCCACGCGGATCCAGACGGGATCTCGCCCGCTCTGGGTGCTGCCCACCGCGCAGCTCTCGCCACCTGCGTGAGCTTCCACGAAGGCACGCCCTTTCACGTGTCGCTTCGTTCTGGACGAGACCATCGACAACGTCACCTGTTGCGGACAAGTTTGACACGTCCCTGGGTAGCCAGACGACGCGAGGAGGCCTGGGCCCAGAGGTCAAAAGTCCACCTCCGGGCCTGGAGCCAGCACCTCGAGCCCGACCCACGCGCGGCGACGAGGGGCCTCGAGGAGGCCCAGGAAGGCCCAGGCACCCCAGAAGACCTGGACCATCGCAACCCACACCTCGAGCCTCGACTCTCTGTCACGGCGCGAGCAGGCATGGGTCCTCCTGGCTCCTCCAAGAACGCATCTAAGACCTCGATCCTCGATCCTCGATCCCCCGCCTCCTCCTCCTCCTCCTCCTCCTCCTCCTCCTCCACGTGCTCGTCCCGCTGCCCACGCGAGGGGCCGAGAACTTTCTGGGGTCCGACATCGCCGTCGCGAGGCTGCCGATGCCACCCCTGCGCGCGCCCACGGGGGCAGGGAGCAGAAGGACGAGGATCGATGCTTTGGGGATGCTCTCGGTCCTCTTGGGGTCCTCCGCCTCCTCCTCCGCCCCTGCGCGCGCCGAGGGGGCAGAAGGCGGAGGGACGAGGATCGATGCTTTTGGGATGATCGCGGTCCTCGTGGCAAGGGCGGTCAGCATCGGATCGATGTATCGGGTCGGATCAGACGAGGAGTCGAATCGGGCCGCATCGGCACGGAGTCGGAACCGAACCGATGCACAGCAGCGCCATGCAAACGTCGGGTAGAATCGAATCGGATCGGGCTGGGTGAACTTGACATCGAATCGGACCGGTCGGATCGACACTGGCCCTGGTCTGAGGGCCCCTGGAGCCCGTTGCTTCATTGTTCGCGATAACACCGGTGACTGGCCCCGCCCCCTCTTCCCGCTTGCCACGTCACGAGTCGCGCCGGCGCCGAGTGCGAATCAGACGTCCATTCCATGGCGGCACTGGCGCGAATCGTGACGTGACTGGCCCCGTCCCCCCCTCCCTTCCCGGCCACGCCCGTTGTCGCCAGGAGATGAGAAAGGATCTCTATGGGGCCTGTCTCGGGGCCTCTGGACACCTCCGAGGTCTCCACGAGAGAAGACGTTTCACTTCAGATTCAAGCAAATTAACTTGCATGGAGTTTCGCCCCCCGCGAAGCCGTTTCAAACAACGCTGGACCGAAACGACGTGCAAGTGTGTACCACCTTGCATAAAGTCCAGTCTCCTGTCGGGCCTCGTCTCCCTCTACCCCCCTCCCTCCTCCCCCCTCCATGCAAGCAAACTCGCCAGAATCTGAAGGAAAACAGCCTCAAACGGGCGCTGCGTAGTAGGGTGGGCGATACATGGGAGGGTGAAAAGAGGTGCACCTTTTGCTCGGCTACGCGCAAGAGTGACCCTGGGTAAGGGTGACCTTTGGTGCAAAGCTTTTTGGGACCGCGGGGGGGCCAGCGCGAAGGATCCAGGCCTGCGCTCCCAGTGGCCCGGCTCCCCGAGGCGCGAAGCGACGAGTGAGGGAGGCATGGAGGCATCGCTCCCAGAGAGGCGCGGGGGACCCACGCCGTGTGTCTGCTTTCACCCTCGGGGGCGACGACAAGGGCGAATAGCCCAGGGGAGATTCACACATGTACTCCGGGGCGGCGATGGTCTATGCCTTCGGCGAGGCTCCCGGGCGAAACACACACATCACATCGGTCGGAAGAAGAAGGTAAAAACATGCAGTAGAAAGGCGGATAAAGTATATTAGGCTCAGGCCCTCCCAGAGAACAACGAAACACGGCAAAAGCAGATCGATTCTTCAAGCAAGAGGGCGCTTGAAATAGGCTGGGACCTGGGCATCCAAAAATGCCCACTTTCAACGACCAGCGTGTACATGGATTGCTCCCTCCTGGGCTATTCGCCCCTACAGCCGCCTCCGACACCCCACCCCGCCACCCGCCCGCCCGCCCAAGCGCCGTTCACCTGCTCACCGCCCCTGCGCTGCTCCCGCCTCCGCCTCAAAACCGCCCCTCCATCCCGAGCCGTTCCTTGACGGCCCTGGGGCCTTGGCGGAGGAGGGGGAAGAGGAGGAGGAGGAGGAGGAGGAGGAGGAGGAGGAGGAGGAGGAAGAGGAAAAGGAGGAGGAGAAGGAGGAGGAGGAGGGCTCGAGGGCTCGAGGCCGATGCGCGCAGGTCTGGAGACTAGCGGGCAGGCCAAAGGAAACCAGGAGTGCCCGAGCTGGCACGAGCCAATCCGAGCACTTCGCCAGTCACTGGGACGGGCGGGAGGAGGGAGGGAGGGAGGGAGAAAGGGGGCAGAGAAAACAAGAAGAGAGGAGGAGGAAGAGGAGGAGGAGGAGGAGGAGACCGAACAAAAAGTCAGGAGCCTCCCGTTGCGATGTCTGTTCCGCGAAGGAAAGAAGAGGCTCCGGCAGGGGGGGCAGGCGGAGGGGCAGCGGAGCGACGAAAAGGAAAGGGTCTTCTCACCATCGCTCGGACGTCCGTTCCACGTGCGAAATTTCAAAACATGTCGTGTTTTTGTTCCCAACCATCCTGTGATGTTGGGTCCTCGTTTTGGAAACACAACGCTCCGCGTCCCACCTCTCCTCCTCTCCGTTCCTCCTCCCCCTCCTCGTTCCTCTCACGTGTGCCTCTGCTCTCTCGAATGCCCATTTCAGAACACCCCGCACACGCTTCGTGGCCCCATAGGGATCCCCACCGACGGCCCCAATTTCAGCGTCCACATGCGCCCACCCCGCCCACCGCATGCCCATTCCAACACACCAGTCACACTGCTAGCGACCCCATAGGGAGCTCCTCCGAAAGCCCCAGAAACA